CCGCGGCGGAGTCGGCGGCTGCAGCTGGCCCGGCTGGGCCCGGCGGACGAGGACGGTGTCAGGGCGCTCACGCTGGAGCAGCTCAGCAGCCTGCGGTACGGTGCGGGCCAGGCCACGGGGGCCAAGCTCCCTGCCTGAGGGCCCCCGGGGCCAGCACCCCTCACGCTGGCTCTTTGCCCCCTTGCAGGATCGAGGACAGCAGCTTCCCCCGCGCAGACCCCGACAGGGCCAGGAGGCTCAGCCCGGACCGGCAGCACCCTGCCACATGCGCGCAACCCACCCAGAGCCGGCGCCTGAGGAGGCTGGGGTCCGGCTACCTGCACCGGCTCCAGCGCTGAGCAGAGCAGGGTGCAGCCCCTGGCTGGGGAGCTCTGGAGGTGGGAAGGAGACAGCCACCCGCACCCTGGGGGCAGGACGAGTGTGGGGGCCCAAGCTGGTGCCCCCCACCCCGCCTGCTCCTCCAGGGGGTGGGTGAAGCTCCAGGCACAGATGCCACCTGGGTCGGTCCATGCCGGGATCCCCTCCCCTCCCCTCCCCTCCGACCCCGGCCAACCCTAACCTGGGCCTACAGGTCACAGCCGGGAGCTGCCCGGGGCCCCGGACCAGCGGGTGACCGACCTCGGCCCCAGCGTGGGGGAGCCGGACCGCTGCGAGGACCGCGCGTTCCCCCAGCACTGAAGGGAGCTGCTCCCAGCTGGTGCCGGGAGGAGAAACACTATGGGTTATTTAATACCTTGAGCTGAGTATTTAATAAAAGCCTGAGCATTACGGGTAAGGGGCCTGACTCTGTGGGGAGGGGGCCCAGGGGCGAGTGCAGGAGCCTGGAGCCAAGCTCACAGCCAGCTGCAGGGTGGCAGGAGGTGCCCTCCCACCCCCGGGTGGCTCAAAGGCCCAAGGCCATGCTACAGCCCTAGGCACCCCCGCACCTGGGGCAACCCCAGCGGCGCACCCTGTTCCCCTCCACGGCCGGGTGCAGGGGGCACAGGCCCAACCACGCCGGAGCAGGGCGACCCCAGCGCACCTCGGGACAGCACGGTCCCAGCGCCTGGAGCTGCTCTCATGCCA